GTTTTCACTTTTCACCATGGGAACATTCTCAAAAAGGACCAACATGTGATGCATACATGGAGATCACATTGATGCCTCACAGCACATAATAACCGTGTATTGAAAGCATCTCCCAATGGAAAATATGGGAGAGAGATGTTTCCGATGCAAGCTGAGATGTTCATGTGGGAGGCAAATGTGAATTTGCATACATGAATTGTGTAATAAGGGTGTTAATGGACCTGTTTTAGATTTGACCCAATCAAGTCTAAAATCAATTTAGACAGATTGGACAGACCAACAAGACATATATTAGACTGTAACTAGTCCATTCGTAACAAATTTATATTAGATTGGGCTGGATTAAGTCAATATCTGATTCATTGATATAAGATAAGAATACATGTGTCAATGGACCGGGTTTAGAAATGAATTTAAACAGATTAAAGGGTCCAAATTGATTCAAAAACATTCATTGCATTGGATTAGACCTGGTCTGGATTAGATTGGACCTGGTCTATTTATAATGGATTCACATTTGACTGGATCGGATTAGACCAAATCCAATCCAATTGACACCCCTGATCTTAGAAACATTTTGAAACTTCATTATCAACTAAACCATGAATTGTGATGAGAATATACGGAGATTAATAGTCATAACTAAAGTTGCTATAAAATTACATTTTTACGTAGACGTGTGACGAAAGTGAACCCCATTGCCATCGGTGTTGAAATGATCAAAAGTCAGTTACATTTCAAGGTGCAACTTGGGAGGTTGGGGCAAGTGTCACCAACTGATTGGTAAGGTTTCCTATTGATAATACAGCAACAGAGAAAAAAAAAAAAAAAAAGAGAGGGAGCATCCAAATTCAGGCACCTGTGCCACATCTTCAGCACTAAAGAGAGGGAGCATCCAAAGCTGGAGATGTTCCCAGAATTTCTAAAAACCATTCTTCCCCATGGCAGCCAGCCTATGCGCTGCTCTAATAGAATCCCTCTTTGACAAACTAACCTTCAAAGAAAAGTCAGACAAAGCAAATAAACTGTTAAGGATCGGCCAGATACAAGGCTCACAATCAAAAGATCTTCTGATAATTACAGACGCAATAGTAAAGGAGTCCCAGAAAATATTAATAGATTTTAGGCCAGCCCATAAAGAAACAATACACATTCAAGAACGGTTGTGGCCTCTAAATAGAGAGCAGACAATGCTTTGCAAGGTCCACATTTAGCAAAAAAGAAATGCTCTCTGTAAATAGAAACCCAAAAACTAAAGGCACTACTGTCTGCTCCAAAGCTTCCATCAGTCATAGCAATGCACTTTTCACATTTCATCCATCTTAGCAAAAAAGCTTGTCCACCAGCTTTTTATGCAGAAAACAGTCGATTGGTCTTAGAAGGGAAGCTCTCTTCACTTCCATCCTCAACCTGTGAACAGCATGTATAGCATTAAAAGGGTTGGGGGAAACAGACTAAAAAATAAAGCCATTTCTGGCTTTCCAAATATTCCACAGCACAAAAGCAGATAATTCCAAAGCATCTTCACCCACACAAGAAAGCAGCTGATCCTGATTAATCCACTATGCCCACCAATCAATAAAATAACTGTAAGAGAAAAAATTGTCTGCGCAAATGGCTAAATCACTACCAAACCAAACTTCTCTAGCATGATCACACATAAACAGGACATGTGTAACAGATTCGAGTTCTCTGCCATAAATTGGACAAAGGTCTTCAGTTCCTAGCTATCTGCCTTCTCACCAGGACCTGCTTCACTGCTAGACTGTTATGGCAGCATTTCCACATGAAATGTTTTAACTTCTGAGGGATCTAGGGATTAAATCCAGTCTATACCTGAATTGGGGTTATGAGTTGGGGGATGGGCTACCCCTGCCAGTTGCGTACGTAGTTCTTCAGAAGATATCTAAAAGAATAAAAACAAAAAAACAAAAAAACTAGGGAGGTTGGGTATTTATCCAAATTTTCAATGGACACAAACCTTAACCTGAACCCAATAAAATTGAAATTCTTCTTCAAGTTACTTGTTTGACCTACTATGTCCCATCTACGGAAAGGAGAACAAAGCCGAAACAATGGAGCATCTAATTCTTTTACTGTAACGGTGTCAAGGCAGTTTGGTTTTGGCGCAGCTCTTGCACTAATAACTGATGTCAGAAAATATGAAGGTTGGTTATGAGGCTTTTGCCTCTTTTTTTTTGGCTATATATGACTTTCGTTAACCTAAAGTGCTTGAACAAAACAGTTCTGGTTTAAGTATACTGGCTTTTAAGGCTAATTGCAATGAGTGTGTATTCAAAACTTCTCTGTCCCAGTTGAAGTATCCAATTCTCAAGACTAATCAATTGTGTATTCAAAAACTTCTCTGTCAGAGTTGGAAGCATTCTGTCTTAACTCAACTTGAAAAAGCCGTATTGTGTTAGGGTTGAGGCCTTGGGCAATATGTTGTACAGAACCCAAGAAGACAAATTCGAATGACACTTGAAAATAAATGAAAACAGAGATAAAGAAACGTAAATAGAAAGAACACATAAATTTACATGATTCCACTTATAGCCTATGTCTACAGGCAAAATAAAATCAATAATGGTGAAGAATATGGATTTCTCACCGAAAATCCTAAACTCCAAATACACCCAAGTTACTTGACTTCTCGCTCAAGCCGAAGACCATATATAAGAAAAAATCCCTAAATACATAATTCTTTGAATTCAGGTCGGACCCAAGACCTATGCTTCCACCACAAACCACCATGAAAATTTGCCTTTGGATTCGAAATGGGTCAAGAAATGAGTCACAACAAGAAATTTAAGACACAAACATAACACAATCCAATCCCAACATGTATTTATGTGCGTATGCCTATCTTATTTATATATGTATGCAATTATGATACTCTAACGAACGAACCACAACTTTCTTCTTGTACATTCTAAATTCTAAGAGCATACTTGCATGAATTAACTAATACAAGCATCATACATAATGTACAAATGTGTAATATAGTACATTCAAGTTGGGTCTGCTTGTATCGCGTCATCAGCTTTTATCGAATCCAACTCAAATCTATATAGGGCTGGTTTTCTTCTTTTTTTTGTTTTCCAACCCAGCTCAAACCTATTATTTCAGTTAAATTCTCGTACTTCTTGTTCTTGATGGTGGCTATGGCTATGTAATATATATAGCAGTGATAGTAGTTTTCCTTTTAGCAAAACCCCAATTACATTATTAATCTCTCTCTCTATCTCAATCAATTCTACACTATTGCTCGTAGCCTGTATATACACTGCCTGCCCTTCCAATTAACCCACAAGGCCCTTGGAACTATGGTGCTGATTCGCAACTTGAAGTTCTAAAATATAATACTCTTTTTTCCAACTATTGTTAGTTCTCAGAATGGGCTTGGACCCTTTAACTGGAACATGGGTCGGCATCTATAATGAATTAGTTATCATTCATTCTTTAACAAGGTCGTGATTATAATTTGTAAGAAATAGGTGACCTTCAAATATGTATAAATCAACTGGTACCTTAATAGTGATTACCAATAAGATGGTATTTATCAAAATTGACAAGGGGATTTTGGTTGGTCAAAATCAATCTCTGTAGAACATATAGATTAGATAAAGGGAAACTTTATGGTTATGTTTGGTTTGATAAAAAACAAAAGAGAAACATAAGGTTGATGGAAAGTTCTTTAATTAGAATTTTTGTGAAATTCCTTAAAGTTCAATTTAGAAAGAGTACAAATACAAATATGTACAGTGCAGATATATATATATATATATATATATATATATATAAAATAATACAAATATGTACAGTGCACTTTACATATTTGTATTTGGAGGAGTACAAATACAAATTTATAGAATGCAAAATCTTGTATTTTGTATTATTTTGTATGTATTTGCACTATACATATTTGTATTTGTACTCTTTCCAAACTGAGCCTAAATAACTTTTAACCTCCTATTTCTGTTTTATTTTCTACCAAACCAAAATACAGTCTATAAGACAAACAATAAGAGAAAGTGGGGCTACCCCGGTTTTCTTAGCCCATTTTCCTACCCAAGAAAAGAGATCTAAGGTAGATAAATTTGATACTCGGTTTTTCTTCCGAGAAACAATCGAATTTGCACCTGCAATGCAACCACCACGGTTTTATCATTTAGTTGTGACCACCAAATAAAATACAAGTAGATCACCCAGTATATTTTTGAGCCGACGAAATCAAATATTGGAGATGTGTCCCTGCTTTATTGGTGGTCGCAGGAAAATGGTGCAATTATCCAAGGTTGCTGCAGATGTGAGGTTAACCATGTACCATTGTCACTTCCCAGTTAAGTCTGCTTGGAGAAGAAGAAGACTGAAGACATCAAGGTTCCAGTTGGAAATGGGTGTGACCAACAATTTTATCACCTAAAATTATTAATCTGTCTACTAGGTTAAAGTTGGTAGTTGATTGTAACGTCACGGCTTGCAGCATTAAAATGACTTTAATATGTGATTGTTGAAGAAGTAATTTCCAACATTGAAGTTAGATGTGGACCACCTATTTAGTCCATGGTTAGAAAACCAGGTTTCGACCTGGGTGACTCGTCAACCTGATGAAATGAAGAGTTTGAATCATTTCTACATATGAAGAGTTTGAAGAAGTAATTACCAGTCAAAGTCATGTTATGAATCTCTGAGATTAATATGAGTTTCAAGATGTTGGGAGCTTGAAATTTTGGAAAACAAAATTAGTCAGATGCTATTTTCAATATGTTCTCAATTTTATTACCATTTCTACATATGTCTCCTTATTTTTATTGATTTATCGTATTGAATCTTTTACATAGACCAAGTCAAAGTTAAAATATCTAGTCGATCGATGGAAGTRTGAATGAAGAATGAAATGTGTGCTCACTTTCTCATCCGTTACCAACCATACTGGAACTTTGAAACCAGTAATGGCTTTTTCTGATAATAAATAAAAAAAAATTATGGTAAAAGACTTAAACAAAATTGACACTGTAGTCAGTCATGAAATGTGTGCTTATTTTTGGCAGCATAATTTTTCTCTTTACAAACTATATATATATATATATATATATAGATAGATAGATAGAGAGAGAGAGGAGTGGATGAACAAATACAAATGTAATGTGGTGTGAGCGGGTGGGACAATGTAGTCAGTCATGAATCCATTATATTGACACACTGTTGGGCACCCCTCTACAAGTGACACCAGGTTCCGAGCTTGGTGCAAGTAATTCGTATGGCAAAATACCCGCTCCACATCGGTTCCTGAGTGTAGGATCACTGTTCCTTTTCTCGATTTCCTTCTCTATCCGTCTGATCTCTGCTGAGAACCCATAGAATGCCTCAACGATTTCAGCATCTCCAGACCATGTAGATGGGTGTTGTCGCTCTCCGAGATACTCTTCGTCCGGTGAGTGTGTGGAGAGGGTGTCAACCACGGCCATAAATTGGGTAGCTTGGAGCAAACTCGGCAACGCTGAGAGGAAAAATCTCTGTGGATCCGCCAGGAAATTTTGGTACTCCGGGTCGCCTTCCTGAGGCAATAAACGCCTCATTAGCGGTGGACGGCTTGGAACGTACCCACCATAAGGGTACTGCCCGAAATTAAGTGCAGCATGTTGAGCCGACGCAAGCCAAATGAGGGTAGTCAGGATGGAGACAAGATCTTCCACGGTCGAGAGTGTGGGCCACCAGCTTTCATGGCGTATATCGGCGTGCCCCACATTAATTGACTCGGAGTACCAGGCCTGCAGCTCTGTGTCGGTTCGTATGGTGCTCGAATCAGAGTAATAACGGTTCACGTATGTTCGGACCCACGTCTCGATGGCGGACCAGATGAGTAGACCATCGTTGGCATAGGGGTAGTCTTCTATCAGGAGCTTTAACCCATGTGGTTGGGTGGGGTCCGGTACCGCCATACCCCTGCGCGTCCAAGTCAATTGAAAGTTGAAACAATTAAAAAACAAAGCTAATGTTATCAATTTGTGGATGTATGATGTATCCACCAGAATCATATCATACACCACACATCTGAAAATTCGTACAGGGACCCTTCCATCTGATAGCCTCGATTCCATTTCCAGGTATATGGTGTATGAACAACTTCGTTAATTTCTTTTACCCCAACCAAGCCCGCCCGGGGCCCGGGTATTGGTTCAATAATAAAGAAGAATGTCGACCATTCGTCAGGATTGCTGGTCCAGTGAGTACAGTAGTGACTGAACCAGCGATTAAAAAAAATGAGGGTTCAATTTGTTTATTTATTTTTCTGGTGAGATCACTGGTCCAGTGACTGAACCTTGCAACCGCTGCACGTAGGGGAGTGGTGATTGGGCCATCCTAAAACGGAGATACAGCAAACTGTTTTGTTTTTTCTTTTAGAAAATAAATAAGGAAAGAGAAAAGTGCAAAACGAACCTCCGAATGAGATCGGCAGGGAGGCCCTCAAGGTCGAAGCGCCATAGGTTACGGTAAGCGGCAGCACTGATCTCCATGCAGTAAGGGCCAGGAGTGAAGCAGAACTCGATCACACCTCCGGCGCTGATGAGGGTCTGCCGGGCGAGAGCGTTTATCTCTAATGTATAACGCATGTGGGGATCCAGAAGCTTGAAGATAGGGTGCATTGCACTCAACTGTCTATGTGCCGCTAGTATGAATGGCTCTATGCACGCATGTGTCCTCAACCTATTCATTCAACACCAATAAAATGTTAGCATTTGTAATTTCTAAATCTAAATTAATTAACCAACACTTATCAACAAAACGATGTAGACTCTCTCTCTCTCTCTCTCTGCTCTTCTGCTTACCAGTGGTTCACCAGTTGATGGACGCCGGCGTCGTTGGAGCGGACATGGGCTTTGGCTAGCTGCCAGAGCCAGTTTGTGGTGGCATCCACGGGCGGGGTGAGAACCCGTTTTGATGGGGAGCCGGGGCCCCTGTACGGGAGACTCAGCTCAACAGCAATGGGCTTTAGGGTACCGAGAGGGGTCAAGAAGAAAATTGTACGAGTTCCATACGCTTTCCTGCCATCCAGAGAATTTATCCGGTCCAGAAATGGGAGGTAGATGTCATGGTAGTCCAACATAAACAATTTATTCTCCGCCAATGCCTGATCACAAGAAAAATAATTAAATCCCATTTTTGTTTTAAAAAAATAATAATAGCTTGAGACAGACTTGAGAGAATTAGGCCCCGTTTGACTCTTCTTTTTTTGTGCAGTTTATCGGCTATTTATAAGCCTCGCAAACTGCGATTCAGTCTTTTCTTACTTGGTTCATGGTAAATTTAATCGCCAAAAATTGATGCATTGGAAAAATGTGAAAAAACTCAACACGGGTGATTTCTGAGAAATCTCAAATGGAGTTTTTGACTGACAGAGCACAATGCATCTTTTGACTGACAGAACTACCAAAAATACTTACCAAACCGCCCCTTAATAGAAATATCTATTATCAATTACCTGTTGAACCGACATGCCGCTGAGGTGGCCTACGATGTGCTCTTCAGTGAGTGCGGATTCTTGTGGACCGTAGATCTCGGGATCGAGTTTGCTTATTGGTGGGAAAACCTGATGACAAGGAAATAATGCAAAATACAGTTATAAGAAAACGACGCAAGTGTCATTTCCACTTCCCAGAGAGTCCAAACTGCATTACTATAACTCTTAACTCACCTCGAGTCGTTGGATGCTTACGGGATTGATTCCAGCGATGGCTTGGCGGGCGAACTCGTCGTCTCGTAACCAGGCAAACTTGTCCTCTGTACGTACATGAAGATGTGACGGTCAGTTCCTACGAAGCAGACTTGCACCAACCGAAAAAACTTCCTCCCCGAAATTTCTCCCTTCCACGGTGGACAATTAAGCCACGTCGTCTATGTTTCTGACTTCTGAGTGGAGGTTAGGAACTTCGGACGAATATGGGTGACGTTTTAAATATCTACCGCGAAAGGGAGCGAGTTTTCAATTACTAAAAAGTTGGCCACCCCAACTTGATTTCATTTACACACCAATAATGAACAAATAATCAACAGCCTACCAAAACCATGGGCCATGGACTTATCCGAGGCCAAAATTAGACTTTAATCTTTCTTTTCTTTGCCTCCACTCCAATAATGAAGGCCCATAGAGAGAGACTGACAGAGAGCGTGCACATTGTCATTGAATCAACCGAAGAAGGGAAGAGAAGATAAGAGTCTCACTAACACTAATCTTGTGGATGCATGATAATGAAGGAGCAAATCTCAAGTGCTAAACCAAAAAAAGAAAAAGGATTATTATGGGTATGCATGCTTACTGGACAAAATTATAGGAGTGTCGTATCTCAGAAGACCCTGACTAGACTCCTGGATCTTGCTAACGATCTTGGGTAAGGGAAGCTTCTTCATGAGTTCATCCTGTAAGCCCAACTTAAGGAGTAGACCTTCTTTGTAGAGACTGTCCACCTCGGAGAACCCCTTGAAGTCGGGGTTCTCAGCAGATATGCTGGCGATGAGAGAGGGTATCAAGTTGTGGAGCACGGCCTTCAGCCTCCCTGCCGCGAACGTATCCTGTTTCGACTCCTCGAATGCTTCGTCCCGTGGCACGTAAATTGGCAATGGCTTCTCCACACGGCTTTCTGCGTTCATATCTGTAGAATTTAAATATAACACCACCTGGTCATTCACATTCTTAGTCCTTATTAATAAAATGACGGGTTAAAAGAAGGATTCCATTCCAAAAGGAAAGAAAAAGGAAACGCCCCTTTAAAACATATGACAAAGACGTCTAGAAGTAATTAACCACTGAGAGCTTCAGCTTCTCAAGAATCAAAGATTGGTGGAAAGAAAATCAATTACCAGCTTCATTTATGTGCTTGTATTAAGTACCTAACACACTGATCCTGACTATTCCATGCGAAAACTGTTAACATCAAGTTGGAATTTCACTTGATTTACAACCAATTAAGTGAATTTTCATCAAAAAATGAAAAGACAACCAATTAAGTAGTTGTAACTTGCATGTAAGAACCCAAAACACTGACCATTTCATTAATTGCCTGAACTCCATCAAATTCCTTAAGAGAGTTAAAGCCTTCGTTAGAGTTTTTCATGGCAGAGCTATAGAATTTAGAGATGGAAACTAACCGGTATCAGTTGGAGGACGTCCGGTGCGGCATCGTCTTGGATAAGGGATCTCTTGACCGCCCAGAGTTGTCCTTGCAAACTCGATTCCCTTATCAGGATTTCCCAAATCCCTGTAGGTATCGTAGTCGTAGATTCTATCGGAGAGCTTCCTGACTCCCTTTCCGTCACCTCTTAGTCCTCTCAGTTCCTTCTCCCTCAGCTCTTTCAGCCCAACTGGTGTCTCGGAAGGCAAGTATGGCTGCTCACATCAACCAAATTCCATATACAAAAGAAAAATATTAAGAAAAAAAAATAGATACTTGATATTCCCTTTGAGAATCCGAACAAAAGACATACGAGCCAAAACAAACAGGTTTAGATGGTTCCAAATTTCCAATTCATCATAGATTAAATAAAAGAGGCACATGTGAAATGAGCCATTTCAGTTTCAGAAAAGGGCACATCCCAATCCCATCATTACAGTGATTGGGTGGTGGCGTGGTCCTATTCTGCACGCACGCCTGCAAACGTACTAGTGATCTATTGATCTTCCGAGAACAAATAATTAATTAACTGAAACATCGATCTGTGAATAGATTGGGGTTAATAATAGAATAGCAAGGGTTGTCCTACGATTTACAGAGTTGATCCCATAAGAATGGTAATAATAAATAAATAAATACATAAGGAAATGAACCCACTTGTAAATTTTAAAATAAATCCAACAGAATAAAAATATTAAAAAAAGAAAAACATGATATTTGAGGGGAAAAATGCTTTATATAGTATGTACGAGTAACTCAAATCAGAAAAGAGGAATGCCAGTAAACAACGACGAGTTTATATGCCACTATGATTTTCAATATTCCTTGGAAAATGAATTTGTTTTCAACATTCTCGGCTGTCTTTTTTTTTTTTTTTTTTTCTTCTGTGGTAGGTGGGCGGGCTACTGGACTTGGTTAATATTCAACATATTGGAAAAGGTCGGTGTAGGATTTGGTATTGAAATCAAAGGAAGGAGATTCACCTTATTGGAAAAGAAAATCCTCAAGCCCGGATGGTCTTTCTTGGACTGAACCCAGGAATTGCAGGCAAAGTGGACCGGACCGCATGCAAAACCTTCGATGGTGATGCTCTCCAAGAAAAATTCCTTCTGGTGCTTGTTACTCACCAAGATGGCTCCGGGAACCCCGAAATTGGAGTCCACTGTGAATTCTGCTATGTAATTGACCCGTTCGGCTTTGAGGTTCGATTTCTTGGACCAGTCTTTTAGCACCGCCTCGTTGCTCCTCTTCGGTCTCTTTGTTCCTACATAATGGAAAAAGAATAAATTCATTCATAAAAATTATCAGCCCCAAACCAGAGGCGAGTCAAAATTAGCAGGACAAATTTGATAACTCAGAACAGAAGATAAGAAAAACAAGAACAAAGAAGAAAGGGGAATTAGACTTTTGGATCAGAGAATCAGTACACAGAAAGGAAATTGCTCACTTGGATCAGAAAACGATTACCCAAAATTAGAAAGGAAAAAGTCTTATTTGGATCAGAGTTATCACTAGAGATCTTGGGGTGGAGAGAGAGAGAAGTGCGCAAGGAAAGAGGGAGAGGGGAAAAAACTTACTTGGGTCAACTTCGGTGCTAACAATCTGTAGAACGACATTCCATCCAATCATATCAGTAAAAGAATCCAAATGCCTTGCAATTGTTTCTTTGAAGTCCTCTTTGTTCTTCTTTCTCACAGTTACCACTGCCCTCACCTTAAATTTCACAGGCTTTTCTGGCTCAACTTTCACCAGTTTCTCACTAATTGCCGCTACCGGGGTTCTTGCCGCCTTCCTTAAATGCACTCTTCGCTCTCTCAGAGGAACAACCGCCGGCCTAAACCATTGCTGATTAAAATGATTATTAAGAAGAAACCTAGAAGAAGGAAGAAAAGAAGTTCTCTCAATCAAAGAACAACCCGTGATTTGCTTCATTCCAGCCATGATTCTCTCAGTGCAGCAACGACAGTTTGCGTTGATTTTATCTCTTTTTAGATCCAACAAGTAAAAACGGTTTTGTTGATTTCAGCCTCGGAAGGAAAGAGATGAAAGAACACTGATGATTTTTGCTGGTTTTGGCACTTGTATATATATATATATATATATATATATATGTGTGTGTGTGTGTGCAGAGAGAGAGAGAAACAGAGATTTAAAAAAAAAAATGAGAAAAATAAAGAAAGCACCACTTGTATTTGTCCATTGTCAGTCACTAAACGAGTTTCACCGTCCACACGTTTTTTTTAACGAGTAGACTCTTAAGTCTCTTACCGCCTGCGCCTCGGCATAGGGTGGGTGGAGCCCGTGGAGGTGGGGGAGGCTTTGTCAATTCAAAATCTTGGCTTTGGTCAACACAATTTTCAGCATTCAGGTCTACAGACTCAAGAGTATAACGCGGGACCAGAAGGCGGAAGCACAGAGGAAGGAGGATCTTTTTATTGAAGTACTCGGATCTCCTTATCTTTCGCAAAATGGCAATCATATCCTTSTATCACACAAGATTCCCTTATGATCCGTTTGATTGCTGAGAGAGATGGGATGTGATGAAAAGGGAATTTTTTCTTCTCAATCCTGTCACTTGTGTTTGGTTTATGAGATTAATTTGTTTTAAGGGAATGCTGAGAAATTTTGCATCGGTGGAAGAAAGACCATTTTTTTCTCAACCTAGTACCTCGGTAGTGCTCGTAGTGGTGGTAGAGGCGGTGGCGATGGGAAAATGGAGTTAGAGGAACGTTGCAAAATTTGAAAGAGACAAACACCGAAAGCCGTTTTTTCGCAATGAAAATCGTTGGTCGCGGGAAGCCAAAAGCTGTTTTTTGGAAGAAGTAGACATCGGAAGCTGGAAGCCGTTTTCTAGAAGAGGCAGATGCCGGAAGCTACTTTCTGGAAGAGGTAGAAGTCGGAAGCCGGAAGCCATTTTCTAGAAGAGGCAGATTCCGGAAGCTGTTTTTTGGAAGAGGTAGAAGTCAGAAGCCGTTTTCTGACAATGAAAACCGGAGATGGCGCCAATGAGTAAACCGTTGGACGGCATTTGAGAAGAAGACTATACTTAGTTGCCTCCCTTGATGAAATTTTCTCACTCAACTTCCTTTCTCAATGGGGTCGCACCTATTTGGTGAGACCCCACATCCTAAAAATTGAAACGTGTATTCTCGCATCTCACCCTTTTGCCAAAAACAAATCTAAGAAAATATAAATTTTTAAAGAATATTCTTATTTTTCCATCTCAATTACACAAACAAAACGAACCATTCTGTTTTACTTCAAACTAGTAAAGTATTAGTTTTTTTTTTTTTATTACCACTATGAAAGTATTATCTGTTCTTTCTTATTGGCTGGTGCTCTTGTGTTTCTTTGGGGGTTACAAGAAAAATGCTACGACATATTACACCATGATTATATCAGATTGCTTGACTCGATTTATTGAATTTTTAACTTGAAATTAAGTAGGATAATTTTTTTTTGTCAATTCACAATATACAGATTCATGCTTTATATCGGATTTTATAAATTTATGTTGGATTTTTATCGAGAAACAATGTTTCATGTATTCGTATGCATCATCATCATGTAAGCCTTGTCCTAATTATATGGGTGCTATATAAATCCTATTTTGTCATTTTAAAATATATCAAATCTATAACCATGAAGGTTTGACAAAAATTCTAAAGTTATCTGCCAATCTGACACCAGCCAACCCTCTTTTATCTAGACTTGAGACCAAAATTGATGGTGTGAAATAATAACACTCAAAAGAATTTTCAGATATCCCCGGATATAGCTAAATTATTGGAAAATTGTAATTTTTATCAAATCTTATTCAAACCTAAATAATTTAAGAGAGGTACGGATTTGCCCAATGCAGATTTTCGATTTACACTGTAGAGGAATAAATACAACCCATATTCTATGCATCAAAGTCCACTGTAAATTAGCATCAATTCTGAACTAACACCTACCCCGATAGTACTTTGAACCTACAAATTCTAACCTTAATGGATCATTCTCCCAAACAACTTTTGCTATACCTAATTCAGTGAACATGGATTTTAATAAGGCTGCATTTGGCATTCCTTATTAGCCTTTAAAACAAGGAATCCCAAATACAGTCTAAAATCAATATGATAAGAATGGAATGCACTAATGTAGTCCAATAWGATGTCCATATTTATTTAGAGGAAGAGCCACACCCTTTCTCCCCAAAATTTGGAAAATCCAGCTAAGTCTTTCCACGAACTTCCCCTTTAGATACGTCTTCTTATAATTATACAGTACTATCACTTTTAGTAATTGATACATATGCCCCTCTAAAATATTAGGTCCCTACTTATTAATTCTTTATCCTAAGCTAGCTATAGAAGTGGTGATACAATGAGGGGTGACCTCACCATAATTGCAATGGTTTTTTTACCATGATCACTGGGTCTATCTTGTCTATTGACATCTGGACTCACCATTAAATTGGTGTGGCCCAAGATCATCTGCAGCTGCATTAAAAAAAAATAGCGTCTATATTTGCCTTTTAAGTCAATATAATGACCATGCCAAATTATTAATTCATTTAGTTTAAGCGCTGTTTTTCTCTTGAAAGAAGCCTCAAGGCTGATCCTTAATTCATAATAATATCTGAGTTACATCAGAGTCCAAGTGCAAAATAAGACGAAGAAAATTTGGAACAAAGGATCGTGTCCAAACAAGATTACATGTCAGAGCATACTTCAACTACTGGATGAGCAGAACGGTGAACCAATATACTCCTGCAATCCAAAATGAGTGTATAAATGCACCAAGGAGGCCGGGTTAGGATGAACCTCCAGCAATAATGAACTAATATCAACAAGAGCCATGGTCTTTGTGTGAGTAAAGCAGACTGAATTCCTCGGGCAAAGGCAAATTAACAACCCTTGTATTATTTTAAAAAGGCAATTTTGCCCTCAAATTAAGAAAAGGTCACTTTAGCCCTTAGACTTAAAAAAAAAAGTCGACCGTAAACAGAATCATACAGCGTTTGTAACGTCGTCGCCTATGCCGTTTGAGCTTGATTAAAATAATCAAAAATGCTGATTTGGCATGCCCTTCAAAATCTAACATTTTTTTGGGGCCCATTCACCCCATTCAAACAGGGATAAGTGTTAAAGAAAAATACAACGGAGACCACAGTTGTCTTCTCCATCTCAGACCACGATCGAGATACATCCCATCGTCTTCTTCATTCTCCATTTCCGATCCCATGAATGAAATACATCCCATCGTCTTCTACCTCAGAACAGGAGATCGATTACTTCTTCAGCCTTGCCCTATTCTTCGTCGTTGTTCAACTCCCCTATTGCAAAAATGGAGGGGTCATCATCATTAAACTCAAGTCACCGGCCTCGGGCCTTTGACTACTAAGGACAAGTTGTATTTTGTCATTATGGCCTAAAAGCTCCTACAATCGTAGCTTGGACGGAGGACAATCCTGGAAGGAGATTCTACGGYTGTCCACCATACAAGTTAATGGGTAAATAAGGTTGYTTATTTTATTTTGATTTTATCTTAAGGAAGTGCTTTCATGATTTGGATGCAAAAAAATGGGTCCAATTTCTTTAGGTGGCATGATACAAAAAAGTTTTCAAAGAGGGCAGTTGAGGAGATCAGGGAACTTCTAGGAAGGTAAAGGTTGTTGATAGGCAGATTGAATAACAGAGGAGAAAATGTTCATGTGAAGGTCTGGAGGATAGTCATGTTGGATGATTGTCAGATGGATGTATTATTAAGGAGCTTAGAGAATTAAGGGGGGAATTGATGGATATAAAGGAAATTGCATGTACAAGAATACATGATTCTTTTAAGCATGTACAAGTTGTGTTGCCATTACAAGATGGACATGAAAAGTTTCTTGTTCTTGTGTTGTAGTAGTGAATGGGTTGAAATGAACAATAGAATCTGGTTGATGCATGATAATGAAAGATGTTTTTTGCATTTTATATATATATATATATTGTGTGGTTTCAATTCAGAGTGTAATATCAGGGAACCTAAACACTACTCAAAATACAATGAATAGGATCAAATATAATTATTTTCTATTCCACAATAGAAAATACATTGTTTTACTGTGCATTCATTAACAATGGAGTTCCACATATCATATACTTGACGGACTGCATTTTTTACTTTGTCCATCCCTCCTTGAAACTCATAACAATCTACTATTGTCTCTACTAGACTGCAATAATGTTGTAAAACAATGAATAATTACATTATGAAACAAAAAAAAAATGAGCCAAATTCAAATAATATGAAATTAAGATACTTGCGTTCAAGATGTATAATCTAGATTCAGTGTTGGTATAGATACCCATTCCCWCCGTTCTTTGCCTATGATATGAGTTGGAAAGTGAAGAAGAATAGTCTCTATCTTTCCTTTTCCTTACACTTTTCATTGGGGGTTAACCATCAATAGCAACATCTTGTGCGGGCTGAGATTCTTGTACACCAGCCCTAAGTACCTCATATGTAGCTAACTCAAGTTCTGTGGTTGTTTCAAAACCATCTCCAACTTGGGCTTGTACATAATCAAGAAAAAAATTAGTGTAATGAACCAGCCCCTGATCCCACCCCAGTCCCTACCTAGACCCATACCTGATTCAACCCAGCCCATACCCTTGACCCAGACCCAAACCTTGACATAAACCCACCCAACCAATACCCTTGACCCAAACCCCCCACCCCACCCCATCCCAAGCACAGGCCAACCCAGTCCCTAATCCCACTCCAGTCCCTACCCTGACCCAGACCCTAACTTGAACCCACCCAACCCATAACATTGACCCAAACCCCCTATCCCAAGCATAGTTTGGGTTGGCTTGTGAGTAGGCAGGCAACCTTAGTCCATTAACTAGGTTGGAACTGCCTGCCTATTCACAGGCCAGCCTAGTTCCTAATCCCACTCCAGTCCCAACCCTGACCTAGACCAAGACCAAATCCCTCCCAACATATACCATTGACCCAAACCCAGACCCCCCTAACCCAAGCACAGGCTGGGGCTGGCCTGTGAGCAGACTACTAGCCTTAGTCCGTTAA